TCATGCATCATCACATCTCAGATCACCCCTAAAGCCAACCATAGACAGAATCTTGGCTGGTTCAGCAGGAACTGGACAAGATTCAAACCATGTATGGGCAGGCTGAATGTACCCAAGCTGATCGATCGACTTGGGTACACCCAGCCTGCTGGATTTTACATGCAATCATTGCTAGCGGCTGTTATAGGCATTCGTAGACACATTTGTCTCCCCTACTTTGTAGAAGAAATCACCATAGATTGGCTCTGTGTCCCTGGGTGTTCCTGAGCACCACCGAGAAAAGCTGGACTAGTGGAGTTCCATAGGTGCTTTCTTGAGGGAGTCTGTGCATTAAAAAGCCTAAAGACTATGACACCCCCACGCTATGACACCTCCAGCACAGCAGGCACTACAACACCCTCAATATTGAGGAGTCTATGACATCTACACAACAGATACTAAGAAACTCCCAAAGCAGCAGGTATCATGACACACCCCAACACCATGGGCACAATGACACTCTAAGCACAGCAGGCGCTTCCAGCAAAGTGGGCACTATGATACCTCCAACACAGAAGATACTGTGATGCTCCCAGCACAGTGGGCACTATGATACCTCCAGCACAGCAGGTACTATGACACCCCGCGCACTGAGGATTGTATGATACCCCCAACACAGCAAGTATCAGGACACCCCCCAGCACAGTGGGCACTATGACACCCCAACAGAGCAGGCACTATGACAATCACAGCACAGTGGGTACTATGATACCAACAATGCAGAGGGCAATATGATACCCCCAGGACAGCGGGCACAGTGTGCACTATGACACCTCCAGCACAGCAGGTACTATGATATCCACAGCACAGCACACACTATGACACCCCTGACACAGCAAATACTAAGACACTCCCAAAGTAGCAGGTATGACGCCACCAGCACAATGGGTACTATGACACTGCAAGCACAGCAAGGACTATGACTCTCCCAACACAGTGGGTACTATGATACCTTGAGCACAGCAGGCACTATGACACCCTGAGCACTTAAAGCTGTATGACACCCGCAACCAACAAATACTATGACAGTCCCAAAGCGGGGGGTATCTTGACACCCCCAGCACAACTGGCACTTTGACACCCCCAGCATAGTTGATACTGTGACACTCCCAAAGCAGCAGATATGACACCCCGAGCACCATGGGCACTATGACACTTCAAGCACAGCAGTTACTATGACATTCCAAGCACAGCAGGTACTATGATGCCCCCAAGCACAGCAGGTACTATGACCCCCCGAGCATTGAGGGTTGTATGACACCCTCAACATTGCAGGCACTAGGACACTCACAATGCAATAGATAACATGACAGCACAGTGAGCACTATTACAATCCCAGGGCAGTGGGTACTATGATACCAACACAGTGGGCACTATGACATCCCCAGCACAGCAGGCATGGTGGCACCCCCAGGGGTTCCCACCACCCCTGCTGTGTATTTCACTTTCTTTTATAGAGAATGCAGCAGGACTATGGAGAGACCTCACAGCCGGAGGCAATCAACCCAACAGGCTCCACCTATAACTGAAACACCTGTGATGGAATTGCTGTGATGCTCTGTGCTCAGTTAATGCTCAGCTGAGTTCTTCTCTATGCAGTTAAACTTTGTGTAAATGACTGAGATGACATGGCTGCCTCCCTGCGATCTCTCGGCGCTGCCTAATGACCGCAGATTATGAGCTGCGCTCCGCTTGCTCCCATTCAACACTCCTCCTTCCCTTTTTTCGGAAGAAATTATTAAAAGCTTTTGAATTGGCGTGACATTTTCAGGAGGTTGGAAATAGCTGCGGAAGATACCACAGGGGCAATCTGCTGCAGCAAAACATGCGATGGGGAGAAAAAGATGACGAGGTGTGAGGAGGAGAAAGGAGAGTTGGAGGAGCGGAGGAGCCTTGTGCCTCATTAGGGGTGGAGATGGACAATAGGCTGCCACTCTAAAACAAAGAATCTCCTCTATCAGGCTCTGGTGATGAGTGGACCCTCCCGGCTTGTCATTGTGGCCGCAGTGGGGGATTGTCAGAAATTGGAGCGGCCAGAGTAGGGGATCCGACCGGGCCCAGCTGGAGAGGAGAGCCACAATTGGAGTGTGATTGGGGAAGGGTCAGCGCGGAGCCCAACCAGGAGGGGAATTATCGCCCATTTACCAGCTCTCCTCTAATATTCCTCACAATTCAAACTTAAAAGCCCCAGATGTGATGGGGGGGGGTCAGAATGCTGACCTCCAATACAATCGTTGCCTCTCTTATAGACGAAAGGTGCGATTAACTTAGCGGTAAACTACATCATGGCGAAAAACTGGAATCGCAGTGGATATCGATCAGGAATCAGAGTGTGGGTAGCTGCCTAAAGCTGGAGCAAAGATATAAATAAATGTTACATAATGGAAGCCAGGCAACTGACATATGTCAATATATATATATATATATATATATATATATTTATATTTATTTATTTATTATGATGACCCGGTCTCAATTTGAAAATACCCATTCCCCGGCTTTCATGCTCATCCTCTGGATTCTGAGTAACTGACTCAGATAAAAGTACGTGATCAGGAAAACTGAAAAAAAAATAAATATTAATAAAAAAGTATGCAATAAAATCTTGTCAGGAGAAATGCAGAGGATGCCATCTCTACATACGTTTTGAAAATGCCAGTCATCCGGCTTTAAATGCTCATCCTCTGGCTTCAGTATTTCTGAGTCACTGGCCCATAAGTAGTGCAGATAACTGCCTAAAACTGAAACATATAAAAAATGACATAGAGTTGCCTGGGATTCTTTATGTATTATTTAAATATTGAGAATAGTAGTAAAAATACATATTAGTATGAACAGCAACAACTTCATATTATTAAAGCATTTTACATAATATGGGCAGCACAGTAGCTTCCCAAATGTTTAGCACTTCCACTTGGCAGTAATGGGGTCATTGGTTCGAATCCCAGCCATGGCACCACCTGCCTGGAGTTTGCATGTTCTCCCTGTGCCTGTGTGGGTTTCCTCCAGTACTCTGGTTTCCTCCCATACTCCAAAGACATGCTGGTAGGTTAAGTAGATCCTTTTTAAAATTGACCCTGGTATGTATGAATATAAGTTAGGGACCTTAGATTGTATGCCAATTGAGGGTTAGGGACTGATGTGAATGTACAATATATATGTAAAGCTCTGCATAAATTGACAGCACTATACAAGTACCTGAAATTAAAAAAAAAAAAAAAAATTGTCTTGAGCGAAATATGGAGGCTGCCATTTCTACATCCATTTGAATTTTGCCAGTTGCCTGGCTGTCATGCTCACTGACCCAGAAGAAGCGCAGGTAACCACCTAAAACCAAAATAAATAAATATTACATAATGAAAGCTAAGCAACTGGCAATTATATTTTATTTTGGGAAAATGTAAAAAAAATGACAGCCTCCATATTTTTCCCTAGGCAATTTTTTAAATGTAATATTTATTTCCAGGTGCCTGGCTTTCATTATGTATTATTTATTTATTTTTTTGTTTCACTTTTAAAAGGCAACAACTGCCATTTTCAAAAGGATGATGTAGAAATGGCAGCCTCCATATTTTAGGATTTTATTATGTAATATGTATTAATAATACTAAGTTGTTTTTATTATAATTATTTAAATAACACATAAAGAAAGCCAGGCAACTGACTTTCATTATGTAATATGTATATAATAAATAATATTAACATATTAAATAATAATCTTGTCTCGAGAGAAATAGCCATTGTCAGTTCTACATCATTTTAAAAATGGCAATTTCCACTTAAAACTGGAATAAAAAATAATAATTTAAAGCCATGAAACTGGCTTTCATTCTGTAAATTTATAGAACAGCAACTATTATTAATAGACAGTTTACATTCTTTTTAAAAATGCCAGTTCCTGGTGTTCTCATTTTCTGGCTTCAGTACTTTAAGAGTCACTGACCCAAAATAAAATATATCAAGAACATCTGGAAAAAAAAATGTAATATTAATAAATAAAAACAAATTATACAATAAAAACCTTGTCTTGTGAGAAATACGGAAGCTGCCTTTGCAATGTCCTTTTTTAATATATCCATTGACTGGCTTTCATGTTCATCCACTCGCCTCAGTACTTTGAGTCACTGACCCAGAAGTCCAGATAGCCATCTAAATATGGAGCAAGTAAATTAAAAAAAAAAACAAAAAAAAAAACATAAAAGATGATCAACTGATCTTCATTATGAAAAATTTATATGACAATAATGATATTAATAATAAAAATACTATTATTTAAAAAAACAATTACACAATAAAAACCTCGTCTTGAGAGAAATATGAAGACTGTCCATTTTACATCTTTTGGAAAATGCCAGTTGCTGCCTAAAAGTGGAACCAAAAATTGTTTAATTAATATTACTGAAAGCCATGCAACTGGTTTTTATTCTGTAACTTTTATATATTAACATCAGCAATTATTGTTATTATAATTTTTGCATAATAAAAACCTTGTCCTGAGAGAAATGCATAATACGTAATAAATGCTTTTAAAAATGCCAGTTGCTTGGCTTTCATGCTCATCCTCTGGATTTATTTTCCAAATCATTGACCCAAAAAGAGTGTCATAAAAGGAAAAAATACTGGAAAAAAAGAAGTAGTAGTAATAATAAGAATAATAAATTACACAGTTAAACTCGTCTTTAGAGAAATATAGATGCTGCCATTTCTATAGCCTTTGAAAATGCTAGTTGCTTGGCTTGAATGCTTATCCTCTGGCTTCAGTACTTTCGGAGTCACTGACCCAGAAGAAGTGTGTTATCAAGGATACTGGAAAAAAAGTTTGGAGCCCTGATCTACACATATATCAGGGTTAGGAACTTGTATGTAGTGAAGACAGAGTGAAGATACTGGAGGTTGTCTTTCCACTTCCTAAGTATAGGAACCTCAGTGGCAACGTCTGATATCAACAAAGGGCCACGCATAACATTCTGTAAATGTACTGCTTAAGAGAACTGTCAGACTGCAGATATACTACAGGAGATGGTCAGAGACTACAGACATGACACAGGAGATGGTCAGAGACTGCAAACATGACACAGGAGATGGTCAGAGACTGCAGACATGACACAGGAGATGGTCAGAGACTGCAAACATGACACAGGAGATGGTCAGAGAGCGCAGACATACTACAGGAGAAAAAAAAAAAAGTCTGGAGTCCTGATCTGCACATAAATCCATGCCAGGAACTTGTATGTAGTGAAGACAGAGGGAAGATACTGGAGGTTGTCTCTCCACGTCCTAGGTATAGGGGGCCTCAGTGGCAACTTCTGCTACCATCAAAGGGCCACAAAAACATTCTGTGACTACTGCTATAGAGAACTCAGACTGCAGACCTCCAACAGGAGATGGTTAGCGATTGCAGACATGATACCAGAGATGGTCAGAGACTGCAGACAGGATACCAGAGATGGTCAGAGACTGCAGACATGATACCAGAGATGGTCAGAGACTGCAGACATGATACCAGAGATGGTCAGAGACTGCAGACATGATACTAGAGATGGTCAGCGACTGCAGACATGATACTAGAGATGGTCAGCGACTGCAGACATGATACTAGAGATGGTCAGCGACTGCAGACATGATACTAGAGATGGTCAGCGACTGCAGAAATGATACCAGAGATGGCCAGCGACTGCAGACATGATACTAGAGATGGTCAGCGAGTGCAGACATGATACTAGAGATGGTCACAGACATGATACTAGAGATGCGACTCACATGCGAGTGCAGACATGATACTAGAGATGGTCAGAGACTGCAGACATGATACTAGAGATGGTCAGAGACTGCAGACATGATACTAGAGATGGTCAGCGACTGCAGACATGATACTAGAGATGGTCAGCGACTGCAGACATGATACTAGAGATGGTCAGCGACTGCAGACATGATACTAGAGATGGTCAGAGACTGCAGACATGATACTAGAGATGGTCAGAGACTGCAGACATGATACTAGAGATGGTCAGAGACTGCAGACATGATACTAGAGATGGTCAGAGACTGCAGACATGATACTAGAGATGGTCAGAGACTGCAGACATGATACTAGAGATGGTCAGAGACTGCAGACATACTAGAGGTGGTCAGACTGCAGACATGATAGTAGAGATGGTCAGAGATTGCAGACTTACTATAGAAGATGCTCAAAAGACAACAGACGTTTTATTTTGGGTGTAGGGATCGGTCACATCTTACAGCAATTCCATTACATGCTGATATGGACGACAATGTTCTAGATCTTTACGAAGCACTTGAAAAAAAAAATCAAGTACAAATACCCTTTTACATTCATGCCACCATTATGGAGTAATGAGCAGCGGAAAAACAGCTGTTTTGCCATCTTCAATTTAAATAAACCTCAACTCTGTGCCAGAAAACTTCTGTCCAAAAACACTTCCATGGTGAATGGTCAGCCAGGCTCTTGGTCTGCTCTGCTAGTGCTGGACACACACGTTGCAATCTGGTTCTGCAAATTATCCAGCAGATGTAATAAGAGATTGGATCACAAGTCGTTATTTTACTTTGTTCAGTGTAATAACAGATAGAAAAAAGTTAAAGTACATCTAAACCCAACAACAAAAATGTGCAGCGTCCTTGATGCCTCGCTGTGCACTGAGCGGATATCTCAATGTTATCCACCTTTCCAGCTCTATTCTGTGAGCTACACAACACCTACCCATTATGTTATGGAGAGGAGGAGACTGGGAGGTGTTCTGTATAGTCATGTAGGGTGACAACACTGATCCTCCACAGAGACAGTGAGTGAGCGTTGTCACCCTAAAATGATAGACATGTTAGCAAAGAGCAAAAGATGTAAGATAAGACTTCAGATACAGCTTTTAGAGTCAGATTCCTATTGGGTGAGGGTATCATTAGGGGTCCCCAGAACAATCTAAAGAATGTGGGAAGGATGAGCGTGCCACAGACATAATGTGAGCCTAGTAAATCTTTATTGTACATGACAGAAGGTCACAAAAAATCCAACACATTTCAGAAGCGCAATACTCCCCCCTCATCAGGGATGAGAAAGAAGAGAACATAGAAAAATGTAAGACAAAGATATATGGATGTCCTAGTTAGTACATACATACATGGGATAATCAGAGAGTACATAGTACATAGTACATACCATACATGGGGTAATCAGCGTATACATACCATACATACATGGGATAATCAGAGAGTATATACCATACATGGGATAATCAGAGTATAACATACATACATACATACATGGGATAATCAGGGAGTACATACCATACATGGGATAATCAGAGAGTACATACCATACATGGGATAATCAGCGTATACATACCATACATACATGGGATAATCAGAGAGTACATACATACCATACATGGGATAATCAGAGAGTACATACATACCATACATACATGGGATAATCAGAGAGTATACATACCATACATGGGATAATCAGAGAGTACATACATACATGGGATAATCAGAGAGTACATACATACATACACATACATACATGGATAATCAGAGAGTACATACATACATGGGACATACATACAAACATACATGGGATAATCAGAGAGTACATACATACATACCATACATGGGATAATCAGAGAGTACATACATACATACATACATACATGGGATAAATCAGAGAGTACATACATACATGGGATAAATCAGAGAGTACATACATACATGGGATAATCAGAGAGTACATACATACATACATACATGGGATAATCAGAGAGTACATACATACATACATACATGGGATAATCAGAGAGTACATACATACATACATGGGATAATCAGAGAGTACATACATACATGGGATAATCAGAGAGTACAAACCATACACGGGATAAATCAGAGAGTACAAATCATACATGTAATAATCAAAGAATACATACCATACTTGTGATAAACAGCGTATACATGGTACATACCATACATGTAATAATCAGTATGCACCGTACATTTGATAAGCAGGGTATACCTAGTACACACCATACATGTAATAATCAGAGAATACATCGTACATACCATAGACACAACATGATATTCATGAAGTGCAGTAAAATATTATACATATATATATATAGTATATATATTCCCATCAGTCCCTAACCCTCAAGGGGCATGCAATCTAAAGTCCCTAACTTACATTCATACATAAACATACTAGGGACAATTTAGACAGGAGCCAGTTAACCAACCAGCATGTCTTTGGAGTGTGGGAGGAAACCCACGCAGGCACAGAGAGAACATGCAAACTCCAGGCAGGTGGTGCTGTGGTTGGGATTCGAACCAGTGACCCTAGTACTGCCAGGTGGAAGGGATAACCATTTAACCACTGTGCTGCCTATATCTTATCTCTCGCTTATCCTTGTCATCTATCCAACTCTCCTTTATCAATCTCTCTAATTCTTATCTTTCTTTCTTATACATCTCTGTCTTTCTTAAAGAGAAACTTCACCCAAAATGGAAGTTCCACTTTTCCTCCTCACCCCACCTCCCATATCTGGAATGACATAGATGATCGAAGCAGAAGTTTGCCCCTATCTCTCCGCAGCCTCTTAGGACATGTTACAGGTCCATGTGTGCACTGGGCAGCCAGCTGTGAGGCCGCGAGCAGCCAAAGCCGGCTGCCCAGTTAAGATGCCGGCGTCTGGGCCAAAGAGCCGGATTGAGCGAGGACAATCACTGAATCGTGGGTGAGTGTGTTTCTTTAAAAAGTCAGCAGCTACAGTAGTTGTAGCTGCTGACTATTAAATTTCTTTTACATGGTGAAGATCCTCTTTAAGCCGGCCATAGATGGATCGAATCTTGGGCAGTTCAGCAGAGACTGGCCGAATTTCGATCCATCTATGGGCAGGCTGGTTGTACTCAGGTCGATCCACCGACTGACTCGGGTACAACCAGCATGTCAAACTTTTGGCATGCAACTACTTCCACTTGCTATAGCTAATGACTGTGTCCTCCCAGCAGGGACAACATGCCTCCCCCCCCCCCCCAAGAAAACACAATAGCTCCACATAAGAGATTCCCCCATCAACAATGATTGCGTTAATGGGGGAATCGAGCAATTTTCATAATCTATGACTTTTTTTTTCTCCTCTCCATCTCTCTCTCGATATACTAAATATATATATATATGTATTTATATTTATATTAAGTACATCTCTTTTCTCGTCTCTCTTTTAATTCCATATCTCTTTCATCCCTCGCTCTCATCTTTCTCTATCTCCTGCTCTCCTCTCTTTCTTCTCTCTCTCTCATCTCTGTCTTTTCTTCTAGCTCTTTTATCTCTCTATCTTTCTGTCATTTTCCTTTATTCTTCTCGCTTTCTCTTTTAAATATCTCATCTATCTCCTCTCTCTAATTTCTCTCTTCAATCTATCTCTCTTATTCATCAATTTATGTTTCCGGTCTACCTCTCTTTCTTATCCATCTCTCGTATCTCTATTGTACTGCTTTGAATGATGATTCGTTCTTTATTGTGTTTTTCTCCAGTTTTGGTCACATTTGTTTGTATTCCAGGCAGAGTACTTGCACATGTTCCTTCTCTTACCTTTATTAGATTTTGTTTAGATTACTAAAATTTCAATGAACATTTTCCAGATTTTGTATTTCAGGTGTTCAGTTTCTGTGGCAGATTTCCTGCAATAAAAAACTCCCAACACGCTCATGATTATTATATTAGTCACAGCAGAACAAATACTCATCCCCCGTATGTCAGCAACACAGATGTACACCATGAGCTTCCGAGAGTCAGGAGCTCAATCAGACAAAAATGTACAACATGACAGATATATATATATTAATAATAAAAATGTCATTACTGTTATTAGTTGTAGTTTGTTCCTAGCAGTAACAGTATTTAATCATTTTGAAAGCTCTAACATGTTCTGCAGTGTAAAAGATTTAGAAATAATTCTACAAGTATAATGACATACAAATCCATGAGTCAGGTGAGGAACCATTCAAAATCATTTATGACCTTTATAATATAAATTTATATTTTTTAACCTATCCAGGTATAATGAAAACACCAGGCATCAAACAATCCAAAAAGTTATAGAATTTTAAAATGTATAATACTGTATTATATTAATAATACAAAAAATGAATTAAACATAATTTGCTAAAATATGTATATGTACTATTTATTTTAAAGTAATTAAAAAGGAAGGATTTTCAAGAAACTAACAGTCAATTGTACCAGCGTTACAACAGAAAAAAAAAATATAAAAATATAAAAGCTGAAAGTGTAACCATGAAGAAAATTGTAGCACCATTCTCTTAGAGCGCTGACTCTTTCACATCTAGAATACATCCGTAGATCTGTCTGTGTGCATGGTTATTATCTTTATATCTATATTATCATATACTGTATCTATTTATGTGTTAACTACTCTGTGGCAGGCTGTGAGAACGCATCCAAGTAAAAATTTAATTGTACCTTATGCATATGACAATACAATTATAATCCCATAATAAAAAAAAAAAAAAAAAAAAAAAAAAATTATATATATATATATATATATATATATATATATATATACACACACACACACACACATACATTATATATATATATACACACATATATACACACACACACACACACACCTGATTGTGCTTTACTGTATATGTTGAATATTTGTTATGCCCCTTCTCATTCTTTATAGATATATGTATACATAATTGGTTACAACCATATGAGAGTCGATGACTACTTGGTCCTGAAGAAGCAGAGGTTGTCTAGGTTATCTGCGAAAATGCATTGATATTGATCTGCTGCACATATTCTGGAATTGTTTAATAACGAGCCACGTTAGCTGTTGTGGTCAGTCAGTGATTGCATATCATATGCGGATACAATTGTATGCTGAAACAAACAAACAATCTATTTGAATAATTGATGTGGATGGCTGTCCATCAATAATCATGCGAACAATAAATATTTATGGCTTTTGTGATTTGATATGTACTGGATATTAAAGTTCTACTCATACATCTAGCAACATATAGACATTATAAAAAGGATGCCAGCTCCTCAGCCTACAGATTCAGACTAGATATAGCAACATTTATAACATCTTCACTGTACAAACATGTTTCCCATATTAGTTAATATCATCATCACTATCATTAATATTAGTACATTTGTAACATCCACTCTACAAAAAAATTATTCCCGTATTCTTATCAATCGCTATTATTATTAGCAAAATATACTATATAATATACACGCTACAAAAGTGTTTCCAATAATAATAATAATAATAATAATAATAATAATAATAAAAAACAACAACATTTATAGAACTGTTATTAGTAAACTTTATAACATCCACTCTACAAAAAAAGGTTTATTATTATTATTATTATTATTATAACACTTACATTTTTATTATCCTCACTATTATTATTATTATTAATAGTAATATGTATAACATCCACTCTCTACAGAAAATATTCCCATAATATAATTTCTATTAATAATATCACTGTTCTTGTTAGTAAAATGTATAACATCTACTCTACAAAAAGGCTTATTATTAACAATAGTAATAACAATAAGAATAAAATGACAATAATAATAATAACATTAATAACAATAGTAATAATCATAGTAATAATAATAACAATAGTAATAATCATAGTAATAATAATAATAACATTAATAACAATAGTAATAATCATAGTAATAATAATAATAATAACATTAATAACAATAGTAATAATCATTAATAGTAATAATAATAATATTACTAATAATAATATTTGCAGCGCGTTTGTAGCAGTACTAGTATTTATTAATTTATTATTATTTTTTGCAGAGGAATCCGGTCCCCCATTGCAGACCATCAGTTTGTATCTGGGATGCTGAGCTCCTCTTCCTGCAGTCATTTTCCTGCAGGCGCAGACTCCCGCCTGCACTCTTTAACACGACCACTTAATTGGCGTTTGTTGATGCTCTGTTAGCCGCGTTGGCTCACAACTGAACACAACATATTGTGCGCAGGTTTTTCCGTCTCTCTCCCCTCTGGACACAATGCGGAGTGTTATGTATGGCGAGTGTTTAGTTTCCTTGGAGAAATCTCCCTGGAAAAAGGGAGGGGGGGGGGATGGTGATTAGGGGGTGACAAGTGCACCATTCATAGGCAGGGGGGCCACACACAAATCCCCCCGCCCTTCGGCTCTATTCACACTTAGAAAGCAAAAGAAAATGTTTGAACTAATCACGTTAAATGCTTTGCCAAAGGTCCCGGCAGGTCAGTTACAGAAGGGCCCTTTCCACTTAATTAGGGCTCTTGTGTCAGTTCGGAGCGCCCACACTCGGCTCCTGACAAGTAGGCGAACTGACGGGTTCAATTCACTGCAAAGAGAAGGTTTTGCTGGTCATGTTTTGTGAGGTGTCCAGGTGTTTGCTGAATGGGGATTGTCACCATCCCTTCATTCTGCCGCTCGCCCGCTTTTCCCCGTCTCCGGTCTGGGCTGGGCAGGTCAGCGGAATCGTACATTTTTCAGATACTTGTCCCCTGACACCTCGATGGGGGTCAGCACTTTCCCTAGGTCTGCGGGGGGAGCGCAGTGGGTGTGTTCTGCTGTCTCTCAGATTCCTAATTAACTCTGGAATTAAAAAAAAAAAAAAAAAAAGTTTTGCTGGAAATTTGCAGCTGCGGCTCTCTAGAGATTCATTTTTTTATTACATTTTTTTTCCACACCACCTTAGTATGGCCAGCTGACAGCAGATTTTTTATTCCATTCCATTTAATTTATTGCATTTCCTATTTCCTGCAGTTTATACTTTGTTATGTAATCACTATAATGTTTGTTCCCCTGAACAAAAATAAAGAAATAAAATAGTGTTTTTTTCTCTTTCCCTCTGTTTGGGACATTTTGCTAAAATGTAGGCTTTATGTAGGGCAAGTCAAGGAGAGAAGGAAAATCTAATCACCAAATTCGTTCTTTGCTGCAATTTCTCACCTTGTGTCATCCCAGGACTTTGGATATTATTTATTAGCACTTCCAGCGTATTAAAAAAGTGGTTATCAAGAAAAAAATAATTATAATTACTACAATTTGCGACTTACCAATTACAATTTTTGTAGAATTTTTTTTTTTTTAAATAGGTTTTTATAAGCGGAATTAAACGTGTACCTTTTGTTGGACGTTTCCTAATGGCGCAAACTAGTTTACAAATATAGAGAGAAAACTGAACATTTAGATATAAAAATATATAGATAAAACTGCAGTAATTAACGAGCCTATTAAGGCGATTGCGTGCTGATGCTCAGTATGTACGGTGCCAAGCAGTCTGAATTTGTCGTGGAAGATGAGCATCCAAATACTGTTGCAGTTGTGCATGTCAGTATTTTTGAAATATAGAGTGAAAAAAAAAAAAAAAAAAAAAAAAGATGTTTGACCGACTCGCAAAGCAACGATATGCGCATTTGCTAAACTAAACACTGTATACAAAAAACAAACAAAAAACAACTGTATGCGGTCATAGGAAAAAGTCAATGAGCAAGATTTACTAAAACAGGTGCACTCAGAATCTGGTGCAGCTGTGCATGGTAGCCAATCAGCTTCTAACGTCAGCTTGTTCAATTAGGCCTGGTTCACACCAATGCAGTTTGCTTTTGATAAGTTTTTGCATTTCGCTTTGAGTTTTTACACACGTATTTCTGCCGTGTTTTGCGTTTTTTTTTCTTCTGTTAACCACCTCCCGCCCGCCATATAGTACAATGACAGGCGCAAGGTGGTTCTCTCTCGTTCTGGCAGGATGTCATATGACGTTGCCCCATTCTAATCGCGCATGCACGGCTCCGGGAGCACGCAGCGCGGCGATCGGTGGTGCGCTGTGTCCCTCGGACACAGCGGATCACCGATCAAGGGAAAGAGCCGAAGATGTCGAGTCGGTCATGTAATCAGCTGTGTCCAGTCACAGCTGTTCACATGTAAATAGGGAAATGCCGGTTATCGGCATTTCTCTCCTCAGGAGCTGTCACGCTGACAGAGGAGAGCACAGCCGGTAATCGGCATTCCTCGGAGGGGAGATGTACACTGATCATCAGGGCACTGATGATCAGTGTGTCCTGATCATCAGTGTAGCCGGAGCAGTGCCACCTGTCAGTGTCCATCAGTCCTAGCTGTCAGTGCTCATCCATGCCACCTGCCAGTGCCCATCAGTGCCACATCAATGCCACATATCAGTGCCTAACAGTGCACATCAATGCCACATATCAGTGCCCATCTGAGCTGCCTTTCAGTGTCACCCATCAGTGCCAGTCAGTGCCGCCTAACAGTGCCAGTCAGTGCCGCCTAACAGTGCCAGTCAGTGCCGCCTAACAGTGCCAGTCAGTGCCGCCTAACAGTGCCAGTCAGTGCCGCCTAACAGTGCCACCTATCAGTGCTGCCTTTCAGTGCCCATCACTGCAGCCTCATTAGCGCACATCAGTGAAGGAGAAAAATCACTTATTTACAAAATTTTATAACAAAAACTAAGAAAAAACATTTTTTTTTCAAAATTTTCAGTGGTTTTTGGTTTGTTTAAGAAAAAATAAAAAACCCAGAGGTGATTAAATACCACCAAAATAAAGCTCTATCTGTCTCAAAAAAATGATAAAAATTTCATATGGGTACAGTGTTGCATGAGCGCGCAATTGTTATTCAAAGTGTGACAGTGCTGAAAGCTGGAAATTGTCCTGGGCAGGAAGGTGGCATAAGTGCCCTGTAGGCTACAAGTTAAAAAGGGGAAATGTTTTTGTTGCTGGACAGAAAACAAAACATGAAACACGGCAAAAAAACTCTATATACGTTTCAGCGGCGTCTCCATTGAACTCTATTGTAGCAAAAACGCTGCTTTTTGTGTTTAAAAAAGTCCGGCCTGGTTCACACCTATGCTTGTTGCAATCTGCTGTGAGAAAAAAAGTCCCTGACCCTTTCCAAAAACACGGCGGCTGAAAATGCATAGAGGTGTATGTGTCCCATAGGAAACCATGTTAAATGGACTGTAATGCGTTTCTGCTAAAACGCAAAAAGCACTAAAAAAACATGCATTGGCTTGAACCAGGCCTCCCTGACCCTTTCCAAAAAGGCAGCTGCTCCAAAAAAAAAAAAAAAAAAAATATCAGAGGTGAACGTGTGCCAAGAAACCATGTTAAATGGACTGTAGTGTGTTTCTGCAAAAAGGGCTATAAAAAAAAAAAAAAAAAAAAAAAAAACCGCATTGGTGTGAACCAGGCCTTAAAAAGATACGTTCACCCATACTGTCAGATTTGAAAACAGCGTGGGCTCCGCCCACATGGTTGCGTCACTCATTCACAGAGTTCTGTGAATGAATGAACTGACAGTATCGGCAACCTTAGCGGCTGTGGGCTTGCAGTTTTCAAAGAACTACCACGGTGCTGTGGGGCGTCGTGGTAGTTCATTGAAGCTTCCGGTCAGAATATCTGCTTGCCCGTACACCCCCGTATATCCCGTACAGCAAGCAGATATTCTGACAGGTCTGCAGGAGACCTGCATGGCATCAGTGATCTACTGATCTCTGGTCCAATGCTGTCCAGGCTCCCTTGGACAAAAATAATTGATGCACATTTTTTTACCTGCAAAAAAATATACATTTATTATTTTTGTCCAAAAGGTGGATTTATCCTTTAAGTTTTGGTAATAAAACCTGGAAGCTGATTGGTTTCTATGCAGAGTTGCACCAGATTTTGCGCTTTCAAGTTTTAGTAAATCCACCCCAATGCAGGTTTGATTAATCATATAACACGTATTAAAGGAATCTCATACATCAGCTAGTGCTCAGACTTCTGCGTCTGCTCTCAAAGATCCGTGCATGCGCAGTACAATACCTCCAATATGTTTTTTGTGAAGATTTTTTTTACAAAATTAAGTTTTCTTACAAATTTAAAAAAATTATATTTTTGTGGTCTTTTTATGTGGTCTTATTCCTCCATGAAGTTTTAACCTTTAACCTGTAAATTTTTTGGAATAACTCACTGAAATCTGTCCAAACAAGAGTCTAGTAAACATTCCGGGTATGTTACAATTTGAAACATGAAATCATAAATTATAATTTAATAATCATAAAAAATAATATAATAATACATTTAATTCAATAATATAATCAAACCAAAAACACTGAAATTTGAAATATGGCGCAAAGTTTGCACATCACGGAGCAAAGTCGCAAAATCGTTTTCAGTGTCTGATGACGAATTTCCCCACGAATCATTATCACTCAATTCTGCAAGTGGTTCTGATTTACTATCGCTGTTCTCTAGCCGGTCTAAAACCGCTTTTGACCTAAAGGGACGCTTTTTGGACGCCATGGACGTTTCTCAGTTTCCAGGCAGAAAGAACAGTAAAAATGCAGGCAGGGCGCCGGACAAAGCACTCGGGACAAAATGTATGTGAAATGGTTTGATACAGGAATGTTATGCTATGTGATTTTAGTGTATTTAGTGATTGTTACTTTTTGTCATTTTCAAATTTCCCACCGGTTCCGTCCCCGTACGTCCCGGCGCTCGCAGGGAAGGAACCCAGAAGACAGATGCCGGTATCCGCCGGAGGACATTGCCGGGGGACACTGCAGGAGGGACATCATGGGAGCGCAGGACAAGGTAAGTGAAGAACAGATCCCGGAGCAGCACACCGCATGGTAAGCCCGAGTGTAGCTCGGGGTTACCGCTTTTGGTATTGAAACTTTACCCCGAGCTACACTCGGGAATACCGCCAGGGAGGCTACAGGCTACAGGGGGGAATTTACGAAAACTGATGCACTCAGAATCTCATGCATTGGAGCCAATTAACTTGTGCAATTAAACTTTGTCAATAAAACCTGGAAGCTGATTGGTTTCTATGCAGAGCTGCACCAGATTGTGCACCATGCAGTTTTACTAAATAAGCCCCAGGTCTACCTTTTTTCCACATTTAAGGTCTAACATGAAACATGGTCACAGTAACCCCCCACCCCCACACACACAAATTGCCCTCTTCCTTACTATATCTGGGGATTATTCTCCTGGAAGCACCCTGTATATTTTTGAATTTAGTGTGGATGTTTCAGCCCACAGCTGTGTCATTCATTCACAGGATCCATGAATAATAGAAAAAAAAATAATCTACAAATCCCATCTGCCAATGAGGCAAAGTAACTCGTAGATTTCAATGGAGGGCAAGTGCAGGGACGTCACTGCAATTGTCTATTGATGCTTCTTCCAGCTCTGTAAGCAAAGGGCCATACCTTGGTATGGACTTGGGCTGCATGAATAATCTGCAGGAGCCTGCGCATTTTATCCACTGACTGTAATTGCAATGCAACTTGCGCAGTCATGCAATGCCAGATCCAAATTAAATTTACGTCCTTTTTTCTCACTAATTGAGCTTTCTTTCAGTGATATTTGATTGCCTGTGTGGGTTTTATAATTTTTGTGCTAGTAAAAATTTTTTTTAAAAATCAAAATTTTGTCATAAATTCACAAAAATGTATTCTGCGACATGGTCTTTGCTAAAAAAAAAAAATTAAAAAATTAATTGGTTTACATGAGAGTTATAGCATCTACAAATGGTGGTATGTATACACTGGGATTTTTTTACATTAATTTCTACTAGTAATGGCAGCGATCGGCGACTTATACTGGGACTGCTGGGGGGGGGGGGGGGGGAACTGACTTGGCATCAATGACATCCCCAGTGACACCAAAACAGTAATCAGTGCTAAAAAAAAGCACTGACACTGTACTAATGGCACTTGGCAGGAAGATGTTAACCTTAAGCCTCCAGAGCAGCGACAGGGAGGAGAACTGTTAGTAAACAAAACAGTTCTTCTCCCCATAGGAGATCTTCAGAAATCACCAGGGAGTAAATTACCAGCCGGGACCCGGTGATTGACAGCCGCGAATGGCGGCGTGGGTAGGGCAAACGCACCCCCTACCCAGAAATGCAAAATCATACATACACACACACACACACCATATAACACACACACACACACACACACACACACACACACACACACACACACACATATATATATATATACATACATACACACACACACACACATATACATACACACACACACATATACATACACATATACACACACACACATATATGCATACATACATACATTCCTAGATTGTAAGCTCGAAAGAGCAGGGCCCTCGAACCCCTGGTGTATTGTATTGTTACTGTCTTGTCTCATGTTCTGTCCCCCTTGCTACTGTACAGCGCTGAGCATACCCTTTGGCGCTATATAAATACTGTATAATAATAATACACACATAAAAAAAAACAAACACACACACACGTGATTTTGCGCACCCATGCAGCCCTGTAGCAGTATTTCTGCTACAGGACAGTTGGGAAGCGGTTACAGATGGAAATTGCATTGTGTTGACCTAGTTTATGTTCGAACACTGGAGCTCACATTCTATAGCTATAGCTGCACGTTTTAGTAAACTCAGCAGCATGTAAATGTTGTAGTTTGTGCATGCATGCTCACCGCACACCCTGTACACATAGTAACATTTCTATAGCATACAATTTGCTTGTTCGCTCACATTTGATGCAGAATTGTAAGCACATATTATTTGGAAAAGTCAGGCCAATAAAAATGCAGGCCTCATGCACACGGGGAATTGGCCCAGCTCCTCTGAACGCCTTTGCTCCTGGCAAGAAAAAAAAAAAAAAAAAGCAGCTGGGAATACGAGAGAAACGCATCTGAAGCAGAGTTTTGAACAGGCGTTTAGGCACGTCAAGCATTTGGGAGTCCATTCATTAATTTATTCTGGGCACTGAAATAAATGAATGGTCAAGACTAACCGCGCCTAGGGTTTATGTGCATTCAGGCATGTTTAGGTATATCAAGAGCGTTTTCTTCTCAAACGCTCCACCCTGAACACGCAAGTGATGTTTTCCCCTTTCTGTCCGTACAAGCCCGTAAAGCCTGTGTGTGCATGGTCACATAGGCTAACAGAGGTGCGTTTAACAATACACAGAACATAATAAAATTCCAGCCTGGTGCACCCTCCGTATATCTAGACCTCAGGGTTGGGACAAGGGGTGGGCAGGAGGGGTGGCTGCCCTGCTGACCACTGTGCTATCATGTCAGGTAGGGGTGGGGAGACTGCCGCAAAAAGATTGAGGGGCGGGGGGGGGGGGGGGGGGGATTTGTGTTGGGAGGGGGAATTCAGGGGCGGCAGGGTGTAAGAATCAATCTAGGAAGGGACATTTGGGTGTGTGTGCTAGGAGTGGTGATTTGGGAGGGATTTGTGTTGGGAGGGGGGATGCGGGAAGAAGATTTGTGCTAGGGAGAGAGGATTGGTGAGTTTGGGTTAGAAGAGGCGATATGGTAAAAAGAGGGGAGGGGATGTGTGCTAGGAGGGAACTTTGTTTTTTTTTTTTGGGGGGGGGGGGATTTGTGCTAATAGGGATGACTGAGGGGTATTTAGAGTGGGTGGGACAGAATATGTACTCAGTGGGG